CAAGGCATATTTTTTTAAGAGATTGAACTAAATATTTATATGCAACAGTAGCTCGCAATTATTTTACGATTAACGGGAATTAACAAAACAGGAAAAATTAAATGCCGCTTCCAAAAAATGATAATGATCGGGAACTAAAATTAAATTTATGTCACACTTGATAAAACAACTATGTCTATCTTAAGCATAGAAAGAATCTTTTTGAAAATAGGAAAATCACTGATAGCAGTCGAGAAAGCCTATGGAATGAGTTGAAGATTGATGTGATAAATCATAATTTACTGGATCTGGCGCATTCACCAAAACTGAATAAAACGTGAACTATCTCAAGAACGATCTATTCCGACCGGCGTTTCAACGTTTAACACTGTTTAACTTAAAGACGAAAAACAAGAATGGCGCTCCTAGGTCCATCAAACTGTAACTTTGGTCCATAATTTCGTTAGCCGGGGTATTTTAAAAAGTTATATTGGCAAAATATCTTTCAAATTTCAAAACTTTCAAATATTATAATTATTATTTCTGTTTTTTGTTTCATGACCTACTGCATCCACCAAATATTTTTAAAGATACAACTTGAAAGACCTATATGAAAGATTAACGGAATTTATTGCACCTGCACTGCATGAAGTGTAATCTAGTCTACTGGATTTCACTTATGAAGTTTTATTTTCACACTTATATGTTCCAGATATGGCGTGCACATTGTATCAAATATTTAGTAGGTATTCATTAAATTCTCACTTTCTGGTCTTTTTTCTACGCCTTTTTTATGCTTAAAATAAAATATAATATAAAAAAAAGTACGAAAAACCCATTAACTTACTACCTACAACCTAAATACTACTAATACTAGAGTGACAGACTGCAATAAAAGCAGTGATACGATCTCGAAAATTAAAATCAAATTGGCCGGGGATTAATTGTTTTTGATAAATTGTTTGTCATTGTTATTCTATTGACACCAAACTAATTACATTTTAAATTGCGTCTACTGCTCCATTAAAAAAAAAACACAAACATAACGTGGATACAGCAACCCCTACTCTAACCTGCTTCATGGTTCATTCTGTTTCAAGATACTGACCCACCATGTATGGATAAAAGGAACAGACGAAGCGGAATTGGTCGTACTCTATAGACGATGGCAAATAACTTTAAACTTGTTCAGAATAAAGTTTTCAACAGCGCTGCGAGGAATGGGTTTTCAGGTAAGAATATGTTTTTTCCGGTACCTTCTATTTTACGTTTGGTAATCTTTTGGGAGTAAAATGGAATATCGCCAATGTACCCTTGTTATAACACAATGCCAGCAGAATGTTTTATATGGCAATATTTGATTTCAAAATACGAATTTCGACAATTTATGTGTTTATTCAATTGGTTTCCTGACAACGAAGGAAAATATTTATATAGTACACTGTTAACCAGATTGAAAAGGTAAAGCCATTTCGCAATTTATTGGGTTGTTCGGAAAGTCATTTCGTTTTTTTTGGGGAACATGAAAGACAGTTTTCGTATAATGAATAAATATTTTATTAAATTATATATTGGCCATTCTGGTCCAACACCTTTTGCCATCTTTCTGGCAGTAACATAATTCCCCTCTCCTAAAAGTTTTGGTCCTTGCTGGCAAAAAACTGGTTCAGGTGGTTTTTGACATCTTCATTTGAGGTAAAGGTTTTGCCATCCAAAAAATTTTGCAGGGACCGGACCAAATAGTAGTCGGAAGGCGCCAGATCTGGAGAATATGGTGGATGTTGCAGTACGTCCCATTCAAGCTGTAAAAGTTTTTGGCGAGTGACCAAACTTGTGTGAGGTCTCGCATTATCCTGGTGGGACACTACACCCTTCCTGTTGATTAATTCGGGCCTCTTCTCTTTAAGTGAATCATTCAATTTGTCCAGTTGATGACAATAGACTTCTGAATTAATCGTTGTATTGTCCGGCAAAAGCTCAAAAAAAACGATTCCTTTGACATCCCACCAAACGGAGAGCATCACCTTTTTTTGGTGAATGTTGGCTTTTGACACGCTTTGAGCCGGTTCACTTTTCTGCTCCATGACCTCTTGCATTTAACATTGTTGTATACAACCCATTTTTCGTCCTCAGTAATAATCCGCTTCAAAAATGGATCATTTTCTTGACGTTTGAGGAGCGAATCACACACGTCAACGCGACGACACAAATTTCGCTCGGTAAGGACATGGGGCACCCACACATCGAGCTTCGAGGTTAAGCCCATGCCTTTCAAATGGCCATAAACAGTCGAATTCGACAAATTTAATCTCTCACCGATCTCTCGTGTGGTTATTCGCCGATTTGCATCAACTAATGCCTTTATCGCATCTTTGTCAGCTTCGACCGGCCTTCCAGACCGTGGTGCATCTTCGACATCAAAATTACCGGATCGAAATTTTGCAAACCAGTTCTGGCACTGGCGTACTGTTAACACGCCTTCTCCATACACATCCGTCAATTTTTTTCTCGCTTGGACAGCATTTTTACCTTTTCTGAAGTAAAAAAGTGAAATATGACCAAAATGCTGCTTATTGCTCTCCATATTTAAAAGGGCACCAACCAAAAACTACTGCGTAGAATTAATAGAACTTTTTCACATACAAGCCTTGCAATATCAGCCCTCAAGACATATAATGGTTATGCGGCTTAAGTGTGAAGTTGGTTTCGAAAAAACGTAATTAAGTCCTCTGACGGGAAAAAACGAAATGACTTTCCGAACAACCTTATAGCTTTGCGTCAACATGCAATATAAGCATATATATTTAACTGTTAAGTAATCACCTTATACAGGGTATTTAACCAGGATGGATGTAGTGTACTCCAATATTATTTATTATTTTAGGCACTGAAATATATTTTAAGAAGATTTATATAGATTTTTTTTTAATTTTGCCAAATGACTAAGTAGAAATGATAACATAATATTAGTGAAACATTTCTACATTACTTAACTACTTAATTCAATGAATTACTGAAGAAGTTTATAAATATGTTGCGTACTTCACATACATACTTCACAATACATTCACTGAGTGATTGAGTTTTAATGCCGAGTTTATTTAGGGAAGAGGGCCGTGAGTATTTCTTAAGATGATAAGAGTGTTGTATGCTGTAGTTCTTCTTCAACAATTAGTTTATGGGTATATTTTTCTAAAAAGCACGAACTGAGAAACGTGTGACGCGACTGTAAGAATTTACAAACGTCAAGATATCCTAGCTAAAATGTACTGAAAATATTCGCTCATTCCCTTGACTAAAGTATAGAATATAATTAATTTATGGCAAATAAAATTAAAATGTATTCGTAAAAATTTTATAATTTTTAAATAAACTCGTAAACAAACAAGAGCTGAACACGTTTATGTTCAAAAGTACCCAAAATGTCGAAATCCCTTATGGGTGCCATTTTTTAAAATGTTTTGCAACAAAGAATGCCATTTGAAGCTTGAAAGTTATATACCAAAAATTAAAAAAAAAAGGAGTAATATCCAAGAAATTTAACAATCTGTATTTTGTATTTTTGTATTTTGTTTTGTATAATATAATATAATATTATAAATAGGCTTTCAAAAGATTTAGAATAATTGTATGTTTAATTAAGTTCAAATTAGTAAAATATTAAATAAAAAATTTGAAAATAGCAAAGTGTAAGTACCAAATTTGTTTGAAAATATGCTTAGAAGCCACATATAAGAACGTATTTTACAAGGTGTCTTGGTTTCTCTCATAATATGACCATCAAGAAATTTTAAATAAAATAGTTGTTTGTATTTAAGTTCCACAATTCATCAGTAACGACGTCAACTTCAGAATTTTAAATGAACCACCCTATAATTTATGCCGTTTTTGGATTCATTGGTATAAACAAAGGTAACTTTCTTTAGACAAACCTGTTTTATTTCCCCACAGTTTAGAAAATATTTATAGTTATGTGACTTTTTATTGAAACATCAGCATATGGCATATAGCGTTGCCACTGCAATTGCGTGAAATTCTGTTGTTGTGAAAAAGTCTTGCAGATTCTCTTAGATCAAGCTCTGATTTGTATTATTTTCAATATAGCTTTCATACAGATTCAATTTTTATTTTCTTGAACGAGTATGTATGTTGAATTCCTTGCATTATGCAGAATTGAAGTATTATTGAATAAATTTGCGAAATTGTTATAGTTTTTTGTGTTATTTAAACAGTTTTAATTTTTTTGCCAGAACACGGAAGTGTGTACATAATCAAATAATTACAAACTTGAAATAATTCTACAATTACTATATATAGGTATATGTAGGTATGCGCGTTCTACTATAATATACGCGGTATGCAGTTTTTGAAAAAATGCTCCTAAGTTCAAAGAACTTTCGTTTTTAAAATTGTCTTGATAGCTATTACAGGTTTTAAGGAAAATATATGGGTCACTTTATTTGAAACACCCGGTACAGGCTTCACATTGATGAGTGAAAGTAGCAAGTTAGCGAACTGCTTCTTTATTCTTTGTACCAACAACGTGTATTTTAAAAAGACGAATTTGCGTGATATGGGTACGTCTAGACAAGAATCATGTTACACACAGACAAACGGGTATAGAGTATCACGATAGAATCACAAATATGTTTAAAAAGATAAGCAAATGCAATTCCAGTAATTATCGAGTTACACACAAGAAACGGCCCATCGTATTCGCCGCAAGTAGCAATTGTTTCACGAAACTGTCTGATACCCGCGAGCATTTTGTAATTAAGGCAAGTATTTTGCAATCTTGCTAAAATAAGTGAGGACCACTAAATAATTAAAAGCAAGTTTTTGCTCGTACGCGTATACAAACTAGCCATCCATCGTTTTAATTGCCAAAGTCAAATCAATCAGCGAAGTGTTGGCGATCCTATGAGACGTGCAATAGTCAAATAAGGGTTATTAAAGGCAAATGTGCGGACAGTTACTCTAAAATAAACACCCAAAGATAAATATAGTAAAACAAAGAGCTAATTCCCCTTATCGCAATGGATGTAAAGCGAAACAACAGTGTCACCTACGTGTTCAATGCTCAAAATAACGCCATGTGCATGGGAGCTGCGTCCTGGGATGCTCGAAAGAATGTAATTTGGAAATTCTTGCCGTCTGTCGGAGGTAAGAATTTATTTTTTTTGCTTTTTTCTTTAAGCAGATGCTATTAATTCATTTTTGCTATTTAATAAAAGGGCCATAAGGCCACTAAATAATAGCTAAAATAGAAAATTAAATGCCCAAAAATATCTTTTTTATATGCTACCAAAAATATTTTCTATTTTATAAAATAAAAAATAACCCCAAGCAGTGGCTAATAAATAATAAAATAACTTAGTTCTGTGCTTAATACGAATTTTATATTCACGGCAGATCTAATCTCTGACTATTATTTTAAAACTCATTGGAATTAATCTTGGTGCAAATAAATTAAATGAAACCAAATTGTAGTTAATCTTGGTGGAAGTAAGTGAAGTTAGAATATTTTTTTTAAATATAATAGCTATAAACGATTCAGAATAAAACATAAATACAATTTAAAATCACCTTAAAAATGTTATTATTATGTATTTTAATTAAGGTTCCTACATTTTTATTTATTTCATAGTATTTTCATTATACACGCATGTATTTGGCTAGCGCATTTCGTTTCAGTTGCAGGTTTTGCTTTCTGTGTATAAAAAATTTATCCGGGTATGTAACATGCTTATAATTATAATATAAAATGATTTGTTTAACAATCGCGGTGTCAAATGCAACTCGTTAAAATGATACAGATGGTTGAAAATGAAAATTAACTTCCACTTGTAAAAGGAAACTTCGACATCTTGTACATTCACACGTAGTTATTTCAAAATTTCCATTGGTACAAGGCACGGTATTTATTTTCCATTACTGCCCATTTTCAACTGAAATTGGTTCTCATACCCATACTCATATATAATTCATTCGAATAATTCTAGAAATGTGCATCTTTTCCTATTCTATAATGAATAATAAATATTTGTTTCATTGCTTATATCTTACTATTCGCTGTAATCCAGAATATACGAGACTACCTTTACATTGAATATTAAAACATATATATTTCAACAGAATTTATAAGAATTAATAACATGATTAATAAATCAAGAGGCACCCTTACGGAGAATATAATAATAATTCACAATGGTCCCCTAAAAGGCGTGTACCGAGTTTAATGATAACATTTTTCATTTTAGTGAGTACTGAACTCTTAAAAGTTTTGAAAATATAAATTCAACAAAGTAGTGTTATAGGTATTTTGTAATACATTTGTCATCACAAATTACCTAGTTTTTATTCTCCAATGAGAAAAGTACTTTTACTGCCAAATATGTTCCTTAAACTGGATAACATTCCTTTATAATCTTTGTCAAATTGCATTAATACAACAAAAAAATCAGAACAAAATTTTCCTATCTCGGCAATGGCCAAACACATTGTTATATTTGAAGCTAGAAGTCTGTGCTATTGAAGCCACTTACCTACAACAGCTACTGCAACAAAGAAAACTTAGCAAAGTGAATTTTGCTACCACAAAAAAGCTATTGACTAGCGCCTATGGTTAGCAAATCATTTTTTAGCTATGTGGCAGAAATCTTCTCTTAGTGTATTAAATAACTCGTCCTTGTCCTTGTCCTTGAATTGCATTATTTTGTAAAAAGGCAGAGGCTTTGAACACTTTATCGTAAATTCCATAATTGAAAACTGCTTTTGTGCTTATTGTCTGATATTTAATTCAACTCACAATTCAAGTTGAGCGAAGTTTGAGGTTTTATTGAAGCTGAGAGATGAAACGGATCTTCCATATTTATCTCTATAACGTACACTGTTTAAAAAATACTTGCGCAAACACGCGAGTCAAGATTAACTTTTAATTGTTTCGTGGTGCACAATATTATTTAAATACCCGATTAAATATATAGGCTTTTATTTTCTCTGAGTAGTTTAAGTAAACCAATAAAAATGATTGCGCGTGGAACAGTGAAGACGTATTTTCACTTCAATATAAATTTACAACTCCGTTTAGGCTCTCAACTAAAAACCATCTAGTTATTTAATAACACTATTTTAACCAGACTCACGTCATTCAAGCTCAAACATATATATATTTTTTTTAAAAGTTGGTTAAGACCAAATACTACGTTTCACGAAAAATAAGAATAATTGAAATATAATTTAAGGTATCGAACATTACACATCTGACATTTTTTATAAACTTATCTGCATTGAAAATTTATCACTGGAGATAAACATTTAATGACCTGATAGATTTAGTATATTAGCAATTTGCATATTTTATCTAAATGGATAGTTTTTATAAAATACAAGAAATATAAACTTTTGAGGAGAAAATCTAAATAGGTTTGATTTTCTTCTATTTACGAGATTGGATTTGAGGTTATTGTCTTTTTTTCAATTCCGACCACTGATTTTTTCAAAATTCAAAATATATTTTGAAACAAATAAAATTTTAAACCAAAAATTACAGCGTTTTCGCCAATTTCAGGAAGTATCCTTCTGAACTGAATAGTTTAGTTCAAAATGTTTAAATGTTCTCTTTTGACTATTCTGTTGGCATTATTAATTGAATGGGAAGGAATTTTTATATAAATTCAATTTCAATTTATTTCTTGTTTTTTTTTTGCAAAAGTCAAGAGTCAAGTATTGCTTGGCAAGGAGACAGAAACGTTCACTGGGATTTCCCAGGGGAACTGGAATCTATTAATTGTTGTAACGTTTGCCCACCAAAATCCCAAAAAATTACAGTTGACCCACAAAAATTAGAGGAACTAACTGTAAATGTTTATAAAAAGTTAATAGCAACTTTAGGCATAACATAAAAATACCCCCAGTGCCGATATCATTTTATGTCTGAGTTATTGCTCATTGCTTGAAACACGCAATGAATGTAAAACATTTGCGATAATATGCTTTCGTGTTAGACAATGGTTCGTAAACTAAGATTGCTGGAAAATACGTTTTACCGAAACAACCATTTTGTATTAGGAAATCCTGCTCGATTAGAATGCATATTTTAAGCATAGCCGTCAGCAGTCGTGCATGAAACCGGTGAGTTGAAAGGTTGATATTAATATATATACACCTGGGCCTTAAATCAATAATTTATAAAATTCCGATCGATATAGAAAACTACACCGATTGGCTCAACAGGTAGACAAACGTTAAATCACTCCAAATCTCGCAGTTTACGTCGCAATAATCCAACCTACAGACCTAATTATAAAACTAGTTTATAGATTGTAGGATTTTCTTATCATAGCCACGTTGAGGCCGTCTCCTCACTGCTGAATTAAAATTTAAACTGTTCATGACGCGCTGTTATATTAAGTCGATAAAACCTTAATTAATGTGTATTTCGACATTAACTAAATACACGAAAATAATCGTATTACGTAGAACTATATGGGTTCTCGCAAAATTAACAGCATAAAATATGATTACTGCAGTGTGCAATTAATATAAAGCCAATTAAAATCTTATCGGCTACAGCCCCAAACACGCGTAACAGAAACAATTTTTAAACACTTATACAACAGCTGATCGCTGATTGTGGCCTCTCTTAACGGTAGATAATTATTTAGGATTTGATTTCAACCTGATTTTAGCGAATTATATAGGTTGTTAATAAGTGGCGAAATCGTATCAGGTGTAAAAGTCGACGAACTGTGGGCTGATTCTTTTTTGTGTTTTTCGCCGCCGAAATCTAAATCCAAAATATTTCTCCGGTTTGTCGCAGTGCCAAGATGTCGCTTAAAATTGACTCGGATGACGATGAAAATAGTGGCCACTTTACCTATAAGATAGAAGAATGGAATATAAAACGTGCAGGCAAACATCGGAAGTATACGGGAAATATTTTTGCAACGACTTGTGGTAAGAGTTAACTTTAATACTGATTAAATTCGAGTTTTCTTTGACTTTTTTCAAACCACATATTGAAGTGCATTTAGTTAAAACAACCTTTGCAGTAACGCTGCAAAACTGAATATTTTGTCTAAAGTGAGAGCCTAAACGATCAAGTTTGATTATTTCAACAAATGAAAATAATAATATACCAGGTCTATATCCAAGTCCATCTCTAACATATTTTGAATTTTATCTCAAAAGTACCATATGCAAGTTTAAATATATCTATTTGTCCAACTGAAAGACTGCTATACATTTGGATTCTCCTTGTAGAGGGGAAATCTACATTGGTGGACTGTGTTGATATTTCAAACATAAATAAGTACAGAGTGGTCAAAAACTAACATTAATAATTTAAATGAAAAAATCTTTTTTTTAAAATGGCACAACCCATTTTTGTGATTTCATCGTATTTAGCATTTAAAACCAAAGGTGACTTTGTATTTGTTTTTTTCTAAGAATGGAATATGTTTTCTCAAAAACATTTTGACATTTACCCAAAATTATCCACGTAAATAGAATCGGACAAGAAATAAAATGTTAAACGAATAATAGGAACATTTTCGGCTCGTGACGGTTAATTCAAAATATCTAAATAAAAAACTAGCTTTTCAGATTGCTTTTTTTTACTAGTACTATTTTCACATTTTTTTAATTTAGAAAAAGGTGTTAACACCTAATCATGTTTTTTATTGTTAAAACAACATTAACAATAAAAAATGACTCCGTCCGTAAAACTGTCAAGTATTGCTTTCCAAACTCACAGGAAGCCAAAAATTGTCTGAAATAGAAGACCTTATGCAGTCACTCCTTTATTTATGTCGGCAATTGATCACCATGCATTAACTTTTATTCATAACAACACAGGTCACTAAGGAATCCTTAAAACCTGAAAATATATTTTAATAAGGAAATACGTAACAACAGTTTACAAACTTTGTATGTTGTAAACACTGATTGGAAACAGACAACGAAAAAGACATCCCTGTAAAAAAACATTTGCAATAAATTAATATATGTTAAATAAACCACAAAAAAACAAATAACTAACAACAATATCTCCATCAACACAATGTATTGCAACATAATCAAATATTTTTTTCAAATTCTTAACGTTTATGAATGACCGTAATAATCTGTAGCAGATTATTTATTGTAAACTTGAGATCCTTAAAAATTTTTATCAACAGCCCTTTATAAGTTCTACTATTGCACTGATAAACATCCGCTTGTCATCTAGTATTGTGCCCATTAACCAAATTCAAAAATAGGTTTAAAACAGTAAAGCTTCGGTATCTATAGGATATTAAATATGAAAAATGTCCAGAAATTTCAGTGCAATTCAAAAATAACTTAATATACAGCGTGTTCCATTTATAACAAGGTTCACTAAAATACAAACATCCTGTATATTAGAAAAACATAATATTTTTAAAGTGAACCAACTCATTTTAAAATATTTTAGATATTTTTTAGAAGTCATTTTATAATAAATACATAGGAACACAGAAGACATTCGAAAATAATAAAATAATATTTGAACATGTTATAGTTTTTGACCAATATCTATATAATTTAGGACATTATATTCTGAAAGCGCTTTGGCGGTCGCACGAAGCAGTTTCGATGCCATCTGAAAAACGGGACACATTGTATGTAAATGTCATAAAGGTAAAATTTGATTACATAGACTGGTTCTAGTTGCTCATCAGCATTTAATAATAAAATCGCAAAATGCTGAACATGGGGAAATCCTAAAATAGCAGCTGCATTATTGTTGACAAGGAACCATGTTCTAATTTTAGTAGTAGAAAAAAATAGAGGTGAACTGCTACGCAACGCAATCATTTGTGACTGGCCGTTGTCCCATTCAAAAATGAATCTAGGTCAGAATAGAATCAGTCCTTGCTAGATACAATGCGGATAAGATTTGTAAAAGTACTTGTCGTTTCCCGCGAATGTGAATTAATGAAATTAAACATTTTCGATGCGCTTCTTCAATACCGCATGCTCTCAAATTTGGATAGCAAATGTAAATAACGGTTTGTGGCCAAAATATTATATTTCCGTCACTGTTTAATCTGATATTAGAGTCCATTAGCGGCAGATAATTTTTTGTGTACGCTGGGAAACGGCACAATAACCTCAGATAATGTTTGTCCAGTGTAACTTATTTGCATATAAATCTAGACCTATGCGACCTCATTAGCCTTAAAAAGTTTCAAATATTTCATTTCATTTCATTATGCCTTAGTCCAAGTTTTTCATTGACAATTTTTCTAATTTATTAAATTACTAGTAGATAATAAAAGGAATCATTTCAACTTAAAGCCGCGCGAGCTTTTAACGACTACTAATATTATTTGTTATACAGTCGTGACCATGGCGTATCGATAGTTGAAATTTGTTAAGTGCTTCGCAGTGATGTTATTGCACTGCGAAACTTAAAAATGGAAGCCATTTCGATCCTGTTCGGTACGAGGAATATTCGGTTTTATAGTGGTGCGAGATATGAGTGTCCCATCAACGAAGAAGTTACTTACCAAAATAAAAGCTACTGGGATTTACTATCGCGTACTATGCGTTACGCAATGCCTGGTAAGAACAGGACGTTTAAGAATGACGATATTACTTCTGTTTCCTATACCTATACAGATTAGACGTTTTGTGCTGAAAATTTGGTCTTATAAATTTTTTGACTCTATATTGCTGCTTGTATCGAACAATAGCGACTACTTTGATTTTTTAATTACATGGGATAACCTACATATTGTTCCAATTTTCTCTTCGCTGTCACTTATAATTTTTATATACTATGTCTAGATGTTTTCGCGATATAAATTTAATTCATAAATCAATTCAAATTCTTATCGCTGGGTTAATCATATATTTAGAAACCTAAAATTTTGTTGCAAATTGACGGTGTCGTGGGTGCTAATTCCCTATAGAGTCTTCGTCTTAGAGTGCCGTCTTCATCATTGAAGGTTGCCACAATCTCCTCGAAGCTCTGACGATCCTGGGCAGTTCGAAATAGTGAGTGAGCATCCATGCCTGTCCAATCTCTGATGTCCTTTAACCATGGATGCTTCTTTCTTCTACTTCCACGCATTATGTGATACACATGGCTGCTTAACTATGTGCACTAACTATCTTTCGCACTGGCCTCGCCTCAACACCTCCTCATTCGTGGTATGCGCCTTCCAAGGAATTTTGAAAAGTCTACGATGTATCCACATCTCAAAGGCTTCTATTTTGTTATATAACACTCCACAAATCTGTGTCTGAGCCTCAGGCTTAGGGTGGAATTACACAGGAATGGCCTCATCAGGTTAAAGGTGGCTCTTGCCTGCTCGATTCTGTTTCTGATTTCTATTTCTGTATCTAAGTTGTTGCTGATCCAGGTCACCAAATATTTGAAGTTTCTACCAGTTTTATTCATTTCCTATATTATATTAATGGGCGGCCCGGGAGATTTTGATATTATTAGTATTTTTGTTTTAGTGGTTATTATTTTAAGGTCGTAACCATCTCCGACTGCGGAAAGCTAATTTAGCAAGCGTTGCAGGGCTTCAGGGCTATCCCGTCACTATTGCCTTTTATTGCCTCTTCAAAAATGCGTTCGGAGTATAGATTAAATATAATTGGGGATAAAATACACTCCTGTCGAACACCCTTTAGTATGGTTGCAGCTGTTTGATCCCAATACAACTTTTTGATGATTGCAATAACGTTTTTAACTAAACAAAAAACCAAATGTATTGGATGTTTACAAAATAATGAGTTTACACTCCTACACAATAGTGGCGCAGTCAATTTCTTCATGTGGAACGGCCAATGTTCATTATCTCATTGGTTTCAAAAGTTTTTTCAAAATGCTGAATACGAAAGTTTGTAAATTATTTTAAAATATACAACCAATAAAACATACATTTTTTAATGGAGCAGGTTATTTTTATTTTTTTTTTAATTCTGTCTAAAATTCTTCAATTTTTTTATTAATAATAGCGCATACCTAAACCCAACTGTTTTTCCAATATTTTAATTTTTCGAAAAATATAGTTATCATCATATTGATAATAATGGCCTTATACGAAGATGTAAATGATATGCAAGGGAATCGGAATTATATGCTACAGGGTGTTCAAAATAAATGAATATATTTTAAATTGAAAAATCTGGATTTTCCTATATGACACACAAAAACGTACAACTTTTACTAAATATGACATAGACCTATTTTTAATACTTTGCGATTTTCCTAAAGCTGAATTAATTGATATCATTTACATAGTTCGTTCATAGTGAAACTTCACAAAGCGAAGTACACTAATAGACGTACTATGTAAACTAGACAATTTTCTCAGTGTTTAATGGAACCGTTTGATGCTAATGGGAGTATTGGATATGGAAAACGGAAAGTGCCAAAAAAATTGGACATTTTATTTCAAGTTCATAATCCTCCGGTCAGTAGCCGTCAAGCAGCTAGTTGATGTGACATATCCCAATCGGCCGTTAATCGCACCAATACGAAAATAGAAGCCGATCCAAATTTTTTGTCCAAAATAGTGTTTTCCGGTTATGGTGCAGTTAATTGTCATAACATTTAGTAATATTCAACAAGGAACCCATTGTGGGTACAAAAAGTCCAAAACTAATACCATATTTAACAGTTAACGGACCCAGGACCCAGATATGTAAACTTTTTGCAGAATGATTTAACTCAGTTTTAAAATTGAGATCCAACAAGTGTGGCTTCAGAAAGATGGAGCTCCTCCTCATTATCATTGAGAACTTCGAGGATTTTTAAATAATCGTTACCCCCAGAAATCGATCAGTAGAGGTGGATTCATTGAATGGCCCCCTCGATCATGTGGCTTAACACCACTAGATTTCTCTTTGTGGCCCTATTTTAAAGATCGTATTTATGTGCATCCCCCTGCAATACCAGAAGATATGAATGAATTGGGGACGCGTGCAGGAGAATACCACCGGATTTGCTAAGGCACGTCCAAAAAAATATACGAAAAAGACTAAACATGTATATCCAAGTAGAAGGGCATTTTTTGGACATTTATTGCGACATAATAACTAAAATTGTCTTAGACAGAAAGAAGGGCAAATATTAGAAAAATAATAATATATACGGTGTGCTATTTGGGAAAATCGAGATTTTTCAATTCATGATGACTCAAATATATTCGTCTATTGTGAATTCCAATTCCGTTGCATATATCTTTTACGATATCTTCGAATAGTGCTAATGTCAAATATTGGAAAAATTATGAAATTTAAGAAGAATTTCAAAATGAATTCAAAACAAAATTTAAAAATACGGTCTCAGATTTTTTTGAGTCACCCTGTATACTTTAAAATAATATAATAAATATAATAAAATTGTGCAGCCTAACAATTTTTGTATTTACCATTTTCAGTTGAAAAATGTGCAATATTAAATATTATCTCGAAAACCGCTAGAGATCAAGGTTGTCGCTACTTTTAGACAGAGAAAAAACATCAAAACGTCCAAAGGTTCATCAACCGTGAGACACTGTGTATATATTTTATGATTCGTGTTTCTATGATCAGACGAGACTCCATATTAGTGACAAATTTGAGTCCTCGGATCAAAGATACCATGTAGCTACTAGATATATACAGGGTGTTATTCAAATGACATTATATCATTTAATCAATGGATCACATGTTCGAGAGAGAGAGAGAGAGAGAGAGAGAGAGAGAGAGAGAGAGAGAGAGAGAGAGAGAGAGAGAGAGAGAGAGGAGGAAAAAAACTCATTATAACGATTGCTGGCTGGATCTTTCAGCGGAATGAAATAATGACAGCGATAAGCCATTCAATAAGATTTGCCATCTTGCTCTGAAATATAGTGGCTGCGTCTTTCTTTATTAAAAGTGAATTTCTGTTTTGAGTTTTTCTCAACGAAAATTCATTTCCTTCAAAGTTTTCCACACTTTCTTCTTACCCATGCAGTTTCTTTTCTTCTTATTACCTGATAGGGCCACTTTTCTCCTCGTGCACATATCCAACTATTTTGAGTTTAAGTTTTAGTGACGAAGAGCTTTGAAAAATGCCATTATTAACCTCAATTTTTTTTTCAATAATGAGATTGCTATTATTCTTCTACTTTTTTTTTAACTGTAAATAAGTACTCAAAAAGTAAATAATCGTACGTTATCGACTTTTTACGAATTCATAGCAGCTACAGTAGTCCGCCGTCCCTGTTTTTGTAACACATATCGGTCATTAGGTAGTCTGCACGTACAGTAGATGATCCTCTATGTTTCGTTTTCAATTTTCCTCCGCGGCTAGCTGAGAATCTTCCACAGCCGCAAGACCCTAGAGTCTCTGCAACGGCCTTGTCTGGATCAACGCTCTGTGATGCGTCTAATAGGAGCTGGTGATTCGCCACCAGCTTCGGATTTCTTCTATGACAGGAAGTACGACAGTCCAGTTTTTCCCCGCAAAGTTGTTTTCATAGTTCATTTATAGTTCAAAGCAAACGCATTAGTGGATAGCGAGCTCATACACTACATCTTCCAGGTTCTGCATTGCCTCCGCAATGCTCATTGAAAGCACCAGATATTCTGATGTACCAACTGTGACGTGTTTTGATCCTTCTTCAAATTGCATTTGATAGAAGCCGGATTTCATATCTAGTGTAGTGAAGTATTTTGAATATGCGGCAGCGGCTATCTTTCTCTGACGACTCTCTTGTTCACATCACGTAGGTCCAGGGACATTCGAACTTCACCATTATTTTTTTTATATTAGAACCATCGGGCTTGCATATTCTGAGCGACTTCCACGGATTATACCAGCCCTTAAAAGGTCATTAACTATTGTCTTAACTTGAAGTCTTTCTTGATATGCCAACCTACGAGGTCGAAACGCCACTGGATTAGTGTCCTTTAAGTTTATTGTCATTTCACCAATCATAATCTTGTCGGCAGTTTTATTTTTGTAAAACAATAAAAGACTTGCTATTCTTAATTTCAAGTCCTCTTTTAAGTAATGTTGATTAATCACAACCTTATCCACACTTTTTAAAGTCATTACTTTCGAAATATTGAGCAAGTTATGGTGCAATTCGAGCCCAAAATTGTTTTTTTTTTCGATTTGTAAACAAGGTCGACTGATGACATTCCATCCAATAATTAGGTCAGTGTTCCCTGGCGGACTAACATCTGGTACGACCGCATAAGTAATATCCAAACTCAACGTCGGCATAACAGTAATTAAATTACAAACACCAATAGCATAAACAATTTGGGCCCCAAATCCCGAGAAAGCACGAACTCTATCGTCTATTTTGACTATCGCATCGAGAGCGTACTATTTTCGAACAATTACGTCGCTGTACAGATATCGCTAACATGCTTTCTTTTCCATTTTCTTGTGGTCAATAATATATACGCCGCCGCTAAGTTATTTCTTCATCCGCAGCCATATTTCTACACTATGTTGCAATCAAGTGGCAACACTAGGTTATAGTGCAGAAACAACGTAAATTGTTTAGTCGACTAAGTGAAAAAAAAAAAGTTTACATGTATTGCTTATAAGTTAAACATGTCGCAAGAAACAGAAACATGGTGCAACAGAAATGCTTCTCCCTCAGTGGAAACCTGGCTTTAGACCTTGCTTGTTCCATTGTTTCAATTAATTAGGTGCATATTTTTTCGTTGCAGCTTCCTTGACGTGCGTGTCGTTCGGACTCATGCTAGGATGGCCTTCCCCAACTTACCCCGCACTATTGGAACCAGACTCCCGGATCAAAATCACAATGCCCCAAAGCGCTATGATTACCGGATTTTTGATGCTAGGCGTATCGATCGGTACGCCGCTGTCTTCGAAAAGGATCGTCCACGGGCCGAAATACGGAATTATTTTAGGAAATTGTTTAATGGTACTGGGGTGGATCCTAATGTGGCAGGCGAAAAGCGTATTGTGGCTGCTAGCTAGTAGGATTATATTAGGTCTCGGGCATGGTTTTGCCATGGGTCAAATCAAAATTTACATCAAAGAAATGTGCGACGAGTCGCTTGCGTCCAGCTTTTCAAAGCAACTAAACCTTTATGCGTTTTTCGGACTAGTAATTGCGTTCGTCATAGGACCATTTGTAGATTTTAAACAGTTTTCCTTGGTGTCGTTAGTTATTTCGGTTGTCATACTGTTCGTAACGATTTTCCTTCCCTGCACGCCTAGGGAACTTATCGAACTGAACAAAATTAAAGACGCCCAAAATTTATTACAATTTCTCAAACCGGACGCCAACGTAGAACAAGAGACGGACAAAATACTATACAGTTTAGGTGTCAAAACCGAAGAAAACGGGTTCATAAAAATTATCCGAAACCCCACCTTGAGGATAAATTTTGTCAAATTCTCGCTGCTAATATTTTGTCAGCAATTTAGTGGAGCGCCGCCCACACTAGTGTACACCCAAATTTTGTTTAGAGAATCTCTTGTGCCAAGTCCTGAATACGTAGCCATAGGGTACGCCATATTGTTTTTCATATCGAATGTAGTGGGTATTTACGTAACCCCAAAGTACAATAAAAAGACTGTGTTAGTTATATCTAGTATTAGTGTATCGATCCTATCCGTGTGTAACATACTTGTGATATTTTATAAAATTAACCACAAGTTTCCTTATGCGTCAGTGATCGTATTATATTTATTTATTTTTGTTCATACAGTAGGCTTGGGCAGTATTCCACTTACTCTGATAAACGACCTGTTCCCTAAAAGTTACAGGTTGTTTGTTACAAAATGTTTCATCGTTTATATATCTATGTTCGCATTGATTGTAACGAAGATATTCCAAGTTTTAGTAACGGAATACAGACTAGAGACGCCATTTTATTTGTTTCTTGCCGTTAGCGTCATGGCGGCAGTCCATGTATTAATTTTTATACCAAACGATGAGTTGGCATTAAAGGAAAGCTCAGGTCTGTATCAAATAAACATTACCCACAGTATTAATAATGCTCAATTTAAGAAATAAAACGATATTTTTAAGCGCTACATATTTTTTTTTATCGATGCGCATTAACTCCGATGCAATGGCAGAGTTTAACCACACGCCAAAGAAATGCTACCGACACCAAAGATGATAAAAAATTCATGGCTATGGGGAGATTTATTTGTGACTGCAATTATTTCCAATGTGTTAAGAATTCCTTGCTGCACCCCTTTTTGGAACCATTTTTTGTATTCAAACTAAATTTTTACTACTTTATTAGACGATTTTAGATTCATTATTCTTTATTTTTATGCAAATAACTTCTGTATTTGTAAATTATGTGCCACTTCACAAGTATAGTTCTAAATATTCAAAGACAATTTTTGCCACAGTGTATAAATGTTTCATTTGTTTTTTTTTTTCAAATATGATTTCCATAAGTAACTGGTTTTTGTAAAAATAAAAACAAAAATGATCTTTGTGTATTTTTGATGACAGTAGAAGAAAACATAACAAAAGTAAATAAAAGTTAAAAACAATGTGTGTACAAAATATATATTAGCTTTTAGACACCAACATATTGGCATATTGAAACTCTGGGCTATTTTCATATTCGCACATGTCTAGTGCCACTTCACAGCTTTCACGCACAACTCTCTTCTCATCATTTAAATATTTTTTGAGGATGTGCACACAGTCTTCAGACGCGATTGCTCCCAGAGCTTCAGCACATTCATGTCTAACCATTTCATTTTCATTTCCATCTTCAAGAGATTCTATCAGGTAACTTACACTTTGTTCATCTTGAAGTTGGCCCAAAACAAAAGCAACCTCATGTTTAAACAAAGCACTACCATATTTTAAACCTTCCCCAAGAGCTTCAATAGCCTCTTTAGATCTTAAATTTCTCAAGGCAAACATTGCACGGTATCTGTTAAACAATGATTCATTTTCACTAATTAACACTGATCTAAGTTTAACAACTGATTCCAACTCTGCTGGGGGGGCTGGATCAATGGAATGATATGGATTTTCTGAAACAGTTTCTCCTTGTGATTGCTGAAACCACTTAATCCTTTCCAAAGCCAGTTCACACGTCTCTGCTACTTCCACCACTGGATCAGTTTTAAACCTTTCTAGAACCTCTACATTTTCAAGACTTCCTATTGCGCCTAACGCTTCAGCTGAGAAGAAAAAATTTTAAATACCAGGGAAAATTTGACTTTTCATTAGCTTACCAGCTTCATGTCGAACCATTGGTTCTTGTGCAGTGTCGTTTAATACTCTAATTAAAATAGGATTTGAATTTTTATCTTGCATTTGTCCTAAACAATAAGCTAGCTCGTGCTTCAATAATACTGATGAATCCTGGAAACATTCTTCTATGCACTGAATTGCGACTGGACCCCTAATGTTTCGCAATGTAAACAAGGCGCGGAATCTCTCTTTCAAGGGTCGAGACGTATCATTTAATACTCCGCCTATTTTTTTAATTTGTTCTTCACTTATGCTTAACATTTTTGAAATATTTTAATTTCCTATCATAACATGTGACTAAAGAAAAACAAAAAGGATATAACCAGAAAAAAAACCACAGACAACAGAATACTGTTACCATGGATAAATTATAGTTTTGTGTCACAGACCAGGAATTTCTTCAAGTGTACAGTTGGCGAGTAATATGTACTACAAAATATATTTAGTTGAATAGAGTTGAACACTTGAACTGATTATAGATCTTATATATGAGATTTTTTTTGAAGGAAACTTTGAAGATAATGGAAATAATGAAGGGGAAGGCGAGAGAAATAGTTAAATTATTTTGTCCTATAACAATTGCGTGTAAGCGTAATAGTTGTTTCTGGATTGTACGAAAGTAGAATTTTAAATCAATTTAGCAAAATTTTAAACAATATATTAATTGACATATGAAGTCCCCAAACTTGAAAAATGATTTTATTTGTTCAATATAATTAGACAAAAAAGTGTATTTCAAAATGAAATGAAACTAATTAAAATTATATTTCACACACCAAATGCTAATAGAATAAGAAATAAAAATAGGTTATTTAAAAATAACATTTTATTACCTCTGCTTGATAAAAAAAAGATTAAAAACTGTTTCAAAAATAAAATTTATAATTGGAGAAGATGGAAAAGACAATTACTTAAACCAAATTCAAACACATTATTTCAAGGTGGCTTTTAAAAGTACAACGTTGTCCTCCTGATATTTTTGTTCCGAGGAAATAGCTATTAAATACATGTCTAAAATTATGCATCATAAATTTACAAAAAAATCAAAGCGGTGAAAAAAATATACAATATAGTAAATTTACAAACTGTTAGTGCTAGAACTGTTTCTTAGGAAGCGCACTGATGTAAGACTTAACTTTATGTACACATAATTCGATTTTTAGATACTAACATTTTAATCATATTATGCCCTACTAAAACACTAATTTTTGTCTCCAACTTCAATAGCTAGTTTTTTGAACATTTTTAACAGAAATCAAAACAAATACTGGTATTAAAAATAATATTAACATGATTAATTAAATAAATTATTGCAGCTAAGTATGTATGACAAAGTAATAGACATCCAGTTTTGATGATACCTTAATACATATGAACTCTGTGTCCCAGACAAAACTAGATGAAGACAATAGATCACACATATGTAATAGACATTATAAAACCGAGACAAACAAGCACTTGTGTGTCATGACTCTAGAACCTGAAATCATATCTGGAAACCCAGAATTGATAAAAAATAAACTTTATTATGCTAAAAACACATTGGCAGTTATTATAAGTTTCCAGGATGTGTGGAGAATGTTTTGCTATCTCTTGACAATTAATCTCTTCTAATAAATGTCCTTCCCCTAAAATTAAAACAAAATTGTTTTATAGTGTTATAATAATCAAATAAATCTGTAATACATTCTTTACAGTAAGAAAAAAATCATAGCAAAAATAGACATCTTGAACAATTTGTAGAAAGCATATTTATCACTTACGTAATAGTTTTCTTATCTGTAGATTTATTTTCTGGCCGAGCTCGATTCAGTACTTTCAAAAACTCCGAAGTCTTTGCTCTCATCCTACTGTGAATGTAAGCTTTGGAACATTTTATATGGTAATGTAGGTAATGCCTAAACATGTGAATCAAATTTATGGTATTGTCCCTTGTATTTCGGGCCGTGTGTCTAGGAAATAAAACAAATGTCACATAACCAACATTATTATCTACTTTGGCATCTGTATCTTGAAGTTCTAAAGGGGGTTCTCTGTGGCTGAAAAGTACTGGTGGAGCAGTATGGGAGGCTCTTAGACCTTCCTTGAGTTCCTGCATGAATACCTTGCCTATCACCACATCGTCTTCATCACGAAATCTTGTAGAGAACACTACTGTGACTCTATCTGCCTTTGCTTCAACATACCTGCAAAATGAGAATGTGCAGGTTTTTTCACTTAAAGAATTGATTGATTATGGATCATTCAATGTGTAGCATTAATACACTTACAGAGTTTCATCATCCCTGTAATGAATAACAGCCCTCTTTTGGCCTTCATCCCCTGCTTCTTGAAAATTGAAGTACTTTTCAAACACAGAAGCAAAGCAGTTCCTTTTAAGAAGTCCTATTTTTTTCACAACTTCAGGCCAATCTTGTGGAATGTTCTCCAAATCCAAAAGAAGTGAAACATTATACCCATTCTCAGCCGATATTAAAAAAGGGCCATACACCCTTTTCAACAACTCATCAGCACCATGCTCTTGCAATTGCTTATAAAATTTTAGAGATATACTAATCTGGAAAATCAAGGCTTTTACATTTGGTTAATAACAAAATGGATGATTTTATTACTCACCCTAATCTTAGACTTATCTCCATTTAGATTAGAAATGTGATATAAAACACCGTCGAAATCTGCTACTGTAACGTCTATGCTCTCATTTTTTAAGCTGAAAATGAAAAGAAAATTCTGTTTGGATTTGAAATCATCTATGAGTCATAGATATTTTTTAAGCAAAGGATAATATCACTAAAATGCTATTGGCCAACACAAAAGTATTTAAATGCTTATCAAGATCATTATTTTCCAAAATTAAACCGGCCCTTTGAAGCAATATAAACAGGATACATAAATATTTGCACTTACCCCGCCTGAGCGTTTTTAATTTTCACCGTCAACGTTTCTTCGACGACTCTGTTATTTATTTCTAATAAAATCATATTTTCATCTAAAAAAATAAATATTATTTTCTAAATTTGTGTTCCGTTTGATAAAACATGGGAGGTGGTGTGTCCGATTATATGCCAACTGTCATTTTAGATGAACCTAAAAACCGCAGTTAGGATTTGGTCAGTTGTGAAAATTAGTTGCAAAGAGACCAACAACAATAGTAATGGAGTTTTGGTGTTTAGTTCATAAGATTCTGCAAGGTGTGTCTATAACGTCGTCGACGGATATTATGAAATCTGGATTACAAGGCCCATTCCCCAAACTTAAGAACTTCAGGCAAAATTTGTTCAATCCCGTTTTTGTTTCTTAATTGCGTTTAATATCAAGAGTTCAGCATAACTGAGCATAATTTGCCCAATGCCGACATCGCTTAAATCTTACACTTTGATACCATTGTTTAAAGTTTTCGAGATCATCCGACTCTACTTCCAGCGAGGATCAAGAAAACAACAGAATCTTGAAACACTTAAAACATTACAAAGTTTTCACACCAAAGTCAAGCCGATATCAAAAATTTTCAGTGGTGGGCTGTCTGTGTCATTTCTATAATTCGTAACACGAGAAACTCTTAGGTGTCAGATCTATGGTATAACTTTTTTTTTCGAGAAACTAACCAATTTGTTTTAACAACTCATTGATTCATATAAAATGATAAATATTCACCTAATAGATTGTTATATCAAGATCTTAGATTTTTTCAATTAAATTTGGTGCATAGCAAATACATCAAAAATGTTTAATAAAAAGAGTGCTCTCTACTGGGCAAATATTGGCCCAAGTTCTGAGATTCCCGCTACTGCAGTTCGTGGAGGATTTGACGAAGATCAAAATCCGATATATGTTGGTTCCGTTATCCATAATGGTTGTCGCATTCCGGTCAAGGCCATTCCTAAAAAAGGGGGTGCATTTCTATGTGTGGAGGGAAAAGAGATTGTAAAATCGGAGTACCAAATTCTTTGTGAAAAACGTATAGAATGGGTACACGCATCCAAAGGAGTTGTACCTCCAGGAGCAATTGTAGGTGGAAAGACTATTAATGGTGAACCCTTGTACATTGCTAGGGCGAGACATGCAGGATATGTTGTTACAGTGGGAAAGTTGCAGGTCAGTAGTAAAGTTTGCCATATTGGATATGCAGGAAAAGAACATGCTTGTGAAGAGTATGAGGTTCTAGTGGCTAAGGAGTAATGAATATTTAAATCCTGACCATCCGTTTTATGTTTGTGATATTTCTTGTAATAAACATGTATTATGATGTATGATGTTAATATGTTTTTTATTCTACTTTTTATTTTTTCTTAGAAAATCATAATGCAAGTCAAATTAAGGAAATGACAACAATTCACAAGTGAAAGGAAGTCATTTAATAAATAAATATATCAAATAAATAAAAGATTTTTTTATACATTCACCAAGTTTTCAGACCTAAGAGTCAAGAATATTACAAAATTCATTTGCTTTGTTCAGAGCAGTATTTTGAATCTCAATCATTTCACCGAGCAGATTCTTCCAGTTTAGCGCATAATTGTGCTTATCAAAACTATTACTCTGACTGGACTGGTACAGTTGACAAGCAATTTTATGAAAATATACGCAACTCTCTATAACGTGTCTGTTACTCTCTAAAATTTCCCATTCCATCGACGAAATCTGAAGCCTTTTTTCTTCATCGTCCATGTCTATATTGTCTTCAGACGCTTCATCTTCATTGTTCTCAATGGAGTCATCATTACTGTAGTCGGTGGCAATTAATTCTTTAACCCGATCGGCGTATCTTAATGTATTCAAAGAGTGGTCAACGGAAAAATTTCCAGGGCTAATCAAAGCAATCATGCACGTTCGTGATTTATCACCTATAAAGGAGTCGCGAAGGACTTGAGTCAGCTTGCTTCCTCTAAAGGGCAAATGGGCCCCTTTCCTGCCCAATGCTCGAATGCATTCTTTCAGAGCTAGTAAACTTTTATTAATATCTGCACCTTCAATTTGAGTTTGTCTATTTGATTTGTTTGTGTCGGCACCTCTCTCATTGCCTGAAATAATAGAATTCTTATAACAAGCTAACTAAATACCCAGGAACAAAGTGATAGAATCTAACAAATATCTTATAATTACACATCCTAACTAGAATAAAAGGGGCACAGACTGTTGTATCCAAAAAGGCAATATTGTAGATTTTTATGGATTTTGAGTTTTCTGCTGATTCAATTTTTTTCACATAACAATGGTCTGGGGGCTGTTTATATAGAAAGAACAAAAAATAGACAGCATGGTTAGACAGTCAAACTTGATCAAATGCTATTAAAAAATGCAGTACTTCCAGAAACTTCTTTCGAGGTCGGTAGATGACGCCACTTTCTACCCTAATCCGGAGGAAATTTGTCAATTCGAGGTACGCAATAACGTAACAGACTTTAGGGGTAGAAAAATTAACTCATTTAAACATCAGATACCTGCTAAATCAATCAACGAGAATTTTCCTTCGATGCCCCTTGAACCAGCCTTGCGTAATATAATTTGGAAGACCGCGTGGGATCTGGAAGAATTGGTGTTGGCTGACGTCTGTCCGGAAGTTCTCTCCAAGCTCCCCTTCTGGATCAGGTCAATCACGTCCTCTACTCTGCTAACTACCCTTTCTGTGAGGCCGACGACTTGGACTTGCTGCTTGCCATCTTCCAGGACTCGCAGACGTTGTTTCTTCGCGAGCAAATCGAACACCAATTTGCCGTAGATCTCAAAAAAGCTCGCGGAAACTATGTAATTCATTTTCGCGTATTTCGGATGATTCAGTAGTTTGAACACGTCGCACGCAACCAAGCCGTAGATTCCGCTTTTAAAATTTTGTAATTTGCCTGTAAAACGTACCTCTTATCTATCAATATATATTCACCATAAGAAACGACGGCACTGAAAAATTTTGGATGGTTTTTATAAATTGTAGATTATTAGACATTTTTATTCAGACTAGAATTCGAGCATATATGGGGTGCAACAATGAGACGAAGATTTTTTCCCAAAATTTGGAACGCACTGCAGGATAGAAGAGTGGTGGCAGCTGTTATCAACTAAAAAATACACTGTGAAAAACGCAACAAATTGATATCAAACCTTAAGTTTAATTAGAATCATTTTAATGCTAAAGCTTATATGCCGCGAAATTCGGGGCAAAGTGTGTATCAAAGATGCTCAATTGAATAAAGGTCAAGCTGGTTAGACCATTTGTTCAATATCCACTTCGTCCTAAATATTCGTTAACTATTCAAAGAAACACAGACTGTAATGCTATTTACAAATCTAGGTTCCTCCTGTGTCGGTTGTTGATGAATCGAACTTGCGGACGTTTCGTCAATCATCTTGTTTGCTTCTTCAGAGCTAAACTGAAACTCCCAATTTCGATTTATCAACAACCTACGCAGGAGGAATCCAGAAGATTTGTAAATAGTATTTCTTAACTACTCATATCGTGAGGGGATGCTGATATTATTATCTTGCATTAATACGAATATCCCCGATAAAATGTGAATAGAGTACAACAGCGTTTTAGAAGAAGAAGAATTTGTTATAAATCTTATTTCTGGATATATTAGCCTTACCCTTAAAATGTTTTAACTTTTGAAATCTTTAGAGTGTATTTTCAATTAAAATATAGGTCATGCCCTGATTAAAAACGCAAAAACGTTTATAGAAGATCATGCCCCAATGTGACTTCAATTTTCAACAGGTGCGGTCGCTGTTACATTCTACAGGGTGTTCCAGATTTTACGACGAAAACGTCGTCTTTGACGTAGCGTCACTACTTTGAAATTGGGTTCAGTTTTCAGCGGCCGCATTTTTTATGGTGAGGTTAGAATTTAGAAGGGCAGGGGCGCGGGTTACCTCTAAATTCGCCACCCATTGTGTGGGTTTTCCCCGAGCCGGTCTGTCCATACGCAAAGCAAGTGGCCATTCCGCCTTCGAAGATCGTCTTGACCAACGGTTTGGCGGTAAACTTGTAGACAACGTCGTTTGTACAAGTTTCGTCAAACACGTAATCGAACCTAACAACCACATTTTCGCATAACACTACAACTTGAAACGGCGTACGTACTTTAATACCTGAAGTGCTGATTTTCCAAATATTTCGTCAGATCCACTTTGTGTTTGGGCTCGTGGACGATTAATTGGTTTTTGGTATTTACTGTTATAACATCGACTTCTTTCCTACGTTCTTCCTTTTCGTTTAGCGGCCTTTTTCGCACGCAAACCTGAAAGTCGATGGCGAAAAGGTTATTCTACGCAAAATTGTGGACTGCATCATAAGCGAAGAAAAGAAACACTGGGTGCTAAGGGGTATCTAGCTAAAAACTTGCTGTATAATGACTTTCCATATACAGGATGCATTTTTGTAGCACCACTGTCGTTTACAACTTATTATACAGGGTGATTTAGTAACTGGACATACTTTACGTACATCTTTGGGCGGTTCCAAATCACCAATTATTATGCATTATGTCTCAAATACCATGATGGTATATGGATTTGGTTAATTCTTTTCTTTAGCTGTAACTTAACTTTCTTAAGCTGTTAGCTTAAATACTGGCTTGGACTGGGATTTTAAAATTAGAAAAACAACATCTAGTATATTAAAATTTTGAGATATTCCTAGAGACAATAACAGGATTCGCTACAGAAGAACCTGTTGTTTAATTTAAACTTATGTTTTTCTACTAATAAGTTGGTTCTTATCAATATAATTAGTAGTAAATTTTAATATCAAAAAGATTGATCAACAGCAACAGCAAGCACAAGATTAAAATCATTATTTCTTGGTGGTCGTGGAATCCGGAAGTCATTAATTTTTAAACTTGTTCTAAAAAATCTACCTTTTGCGATTTTAATGCTGTCGGCAAAATTAAAAATGTCGGTTTATACCGAAGAAATTCACAACAGGAGGAAAAAATTTGAGGAGCATTTTGCCTAAAAGGGTTAGTATGTGTTTCTAATCATTTCGTCGCCTCAGAACAGTATAAAATTCAAGTTTCGATTTTAAAATATATTTTAATAATTCAACTATAGATAAGTTTTTCATTAAGTTACTGATGTAAAATTTTGGTCAGTATAAAACTTGCATTTAGATCAAAGCTTTTATAGCTGTTGCGCCGTCAAATATAAAAAACTGCATTATTAGTATCTTCTATTTATTATATTTTTCCTTATTTATGTAATTCTATAATTATTATCACTTTATTATTTTCATTACTATGATTTTATTGTATGGTGGTACAAGGGATATATTTTCCATTCGCTTTTTTTGTTGTTTTTATTTATGTCTAAAATAATACAAATGGTGAGATTTGTGCTGTATGCTTGGAAAAATGCTTGGCTTCCATCGAAAGATTTGCAGTATGTGAGAAGTGGCGCTATCCTGTTGAAACCAAGTGCTCTCTTGGAAACCAGCAAAATTATCGAGCTAGCTGTCGTCTCAGAAAATTGTTTGATATGTCCCTCCATCGAAAAGTGGAAAGAAAATCCATAAGTCCAGAGTCGGTCATTGCAGCCCGTACATGGGAGAGTGCAGTGTGTTTGATGTCTGTTTTGGGAATTTTCGGGGGACGAGTAACTACAGTTTTGTTTACTTGCAAAACCGTCAAAATGAAAATGCGCCTCCTCGTCGCTGAATAAGATACCGTTTAAAGTTTCAAAAGTGTCAAGTAGCGTATCCGCCACAGGAACGCAGCTCTGAAGGTCTGTACCAATTGCTTGCTTTATTTATGTCGTGCAGGTGATAATACGATCGACATAGGGGACAAACTGGTATGAAAGAATACTTGTTCTCGTAAAACGTTAAAATAGAAATAGCTGCTTCGAGTTTCAATGTATGCAAACCTTCCGGGAGTTATCTAAATAATACGGAAATAATATGGAACTAGAGCCCTCTAAGAGTAACATCCAGATAAGTTTCAAATTGGTAATGCCATGACAAAAATCCTAAAATTGTCAATTTTTATTATTATACCCTAAAAACTTTGTCAATTAATGAGAAAATTCAAAATCAAATTTAAGCTTTGTCATGTATGAGGGCATTTTAAGCTCTATCTTAATAGTGTGGTGTCTAATGTCCCCAGTTTAGAGATTTACACATATATCTCATTATTGTACTGGTGTATTTAAATAAGTTCGAGCCCTGGACCCTGGGAAATGATATGGCACCTACCGTTATTTGATTTTCGACGACGGCATCCGTCTCCCTGAGGGCTTTGAACTCAACGCTGCTCCTGAATTCGTTGATCATCTGAGCAAACTCCCAATACGGATTGTGTTGCTCCAGATGCATGAGCTGGTCCTTTATCGCTTTCTCGTCGGCCTGGCGTTGTCTTCGTTCGTCTCGGTTTTTCGCGATTTGTTCGACTTTTTTTGCAGCCTCCGACTTGTAATCGTAAATGGTCTCCCTACGCGTTCTGGATCCTTTTTTCGGACTAGGCGATTTCGGTGGACTCGGAGGAGGCGATGTTGACGCTTGAGACAGAATTAAAATTTGGCATGATTTGTATTTCGTAAGAGTGGTGTAATTTATAATAAGTAATTGTATCATATCCACATAAAGCATCGCGGTGGCTATAAAAACCGAATGTTTTGCTACCTGAAGTATTAAATAGTTAAATATTAAAATACGTATGCGGCCGCTGGCGAAAATGGCTTCGTTTTATTTGTCTATACAGGGTGTTATTGAAATAACATCATATAATTTAATTAGTGAATATCAATAGCTCCAAAGAATAAAAATCACCCGTGCCACTGGATCGGCCTGCTGAATAAGGCAAAATGTGAAAAAAAAAACGACTAAGAGGTTTTGTTACATTATTACATTTTTCTATCAGTGAAAATATTGATTCAGCATCAGTTTCTCTAGGCACGACAAAGTGTTAATGCTTTGTACAAAAATCAACACAGTTTTTAAAACAGAAAACATTCATGTAACTGTCTATTCCGAGTGTCAGCTACAAAAACTTTTGCACATAACAAAGCTACTTATTGCTTACATTAATAATAAATTATTAAACCACAAATACAATTTTTCTACTCCCGTCTGTAAAATACCTAATTACCCACCTATCTAGCGTGCGGGAAGTGTCACACCACGTCAAATTCATTTCCCATGAATCCGACCCACTTCGAACAATTCCGGAATTTTATCGCATGGATTTGTGAGCAATCGGATGTCTTCGGAGATATTTCCCACGCTTTGAGTTTTGACGTTTGTCAATTCTGACGCTCATGTCAGTGAATGTATTCGTGCTGTTTTGCGAAAATGTAACGAAAAACTAACGGTCGTAGAAAAAGTATAGTATGCAACATGTTCGGTAAACTTTTTACCTCACTCGTTTATTAAAAACTCGCTCAGCTGCGTCCGCTCGTGTCAAATAAACTCGTCAGTCAAATGACGTTTACCGCACTTGTTGCATAATATACTATTATGGTCCAGAAATACTGTCCTACTGCGGTATTCTGCCTTTGGCTTTTTGTGGTTCGTGACTGTTTTGCTCGACCTTTAAATTTTACTGTTTCACACTTTAATTACATCCATATCTAAACACATTTACGGGTATCGACCCTCTTCTGTTACCAGCTAAGTATTGTTTACTTAATTTTGTCCGTATGGTCTGTGTTGCGCAAATTTGAACTAAATAAAATTGCGACCATTTGTCTATGCCAATATTAACATGTATTTCAAAGGGCAAATCGTTTTATAAATATATTATAATACACAGGTAAATGTATTATATGATATGGTAATTAAATGCGACGTAAAAACTAATCTTAAATCTACTAATGTTATAACTAACAAAAATGAAAATGATAAGGCTTTTCAGTAACGATAACCCGATGCATCCCAGTGCGATTATAATTTGTTTGAAGTTCACATAAATATTGTAAATAGGGTTTTGAAAATGCATATTAGATCTGGGTAACTGCGGTAAGAAAGTCGATTGATGTCTCGCTTCCACCCGCGGCACATGAAAACGTAATTGTTTTAGAAGAAACGGACAATCGATTCCGTAATGAACTAACTTGTAGAGAAATGATAACTACAGTACAGCAGTACACCGCGTGCCAAATAAAACGACCCACTATACCATCTGGAAACCCATAGGTGATACGAAAAAAAATTTCTTACAAAAGTTTCTTGGACTCTCCTAAAGATTTAAAATATTATAATTTTGTTCGTGTACCAAACGTGTTCCCTCCGACATCAACTTTGTTATTTTAAATGGAACACCCTGTATATATATCGTCATTTTTGGAATCGTTGCTTAAATAAAGATCATCTTCTTAACAAATTCCTATTCAAATTATGCATAGTTTGAGCGGAATTTGAGGTTATGTGTTTTTTTTTCATATTTTGATTGTCCCATATAAAACTATGTTGTGCCGCTACTGATCCAAGTATTACAAAAAAAAATTAACCGCAGACTAAGGAGATAATGCACTACTCAATCAGTTTGACAGATGCGCCTCATCTTATACAAGGTGTGCCGAATAGGTGGTGCCGTTTTGGCGAATTTAATTAACGAAATCTCAAGATTTTCAAATAGAACACACTATTTTTTTAGTCAGATATCAATTCTAGGACAAAAAACAAGGTTAGTGTGTAATTTTTCTAATATTTAAATTTTACTTACTTTTTGAGATATTCGAGGTTTAAGACAACACCCGTATAAATTCTTGTTGAATTTAAAGCTACCCACAGCAAAGACACGATACTAAAAGATAATATACTTATAATAATATAAGATATAATACTCCTTAATAATAATACCTTAATGCGTAAAAAAAAGATTGTGATGTCATAGTCAACTGCATTCTTAAATATTTTGATATTTCTTTATTGTTTTGATGCCAGATGAAACGAGCATTTTAAGAGGAACAGTTTTAACGAATTGATAAACACATTTTAGTTAACTTTTTTTAAATAGATTTACTTATTCTAATTTGTTACCTTGGTTAGTTAACCTATAAAGCTTAATTACTTATTTTTGTCATTTGACATTTTTAGTCAAGCTAGATAATAAACCATGAAATGTTTCTTTAATGAACGAATTCTGAAGATTTATAAAATCTGTATTGTTAGCAATAGGTTTTATTCGTATATCTGGAGTATTATATATTTAAAAGAAGTAGTATCGTGTCTTTGCTATTTAAAAAATACCTAATATTGCCAACAAGCGACCTAATGGGGGCAGCTTCAAATTCAACAAGAATTTATAGGGGGGTTGTCTTAAACCTTGGATATCTCAAAAAGTAGATAGGTGAGTTTAAAATATAAGTTAAATTATAAAATAACCTTATTTTTTATCCTAGAATTAATATCTGATTAAAAATATATTGTGTTTTGAAAGTCTTGAGATTTTCTTAATTGACTTTGCCAAAACGGCACCACTTATTTGGAACGCCCTGTATAATCTTAAGCGCATCTGTCAAACGGATTGAGTACTGCATCATCTCCTTAGCATATGGTTAAATTGTGGTTGAAATGTCTGGATCGGTAGCGTCACAACACAATTTTATTAGGGGCAATCAAAATATGAAAAAAAAAAACACACATAACCCCAATTTCTGCCTAAACTATGTAAAATTCGAATAGGAATTTCATAAGCAAGTGAACTTTATTTTAATCAAAGATTCCAAAAATGTCGATATATACACGGTGCTCCATTTAAAATAACAAAGTTGATGTCGGAAGGGGACACTTTTAGGACTCCCTGTATCAACAAAATTATAATATTTTAAATCTTCAGGAGAGTCCAAGAATCTTTTGTACGAAATTTTTTTTCGGAACTCCTATGGGTTTACAGATCGTATAGTGGGTCGTTTTATTTGGCACACGATGTATATCAAATCTCAGTAGAAGAACATGATCAACGCTCTTCTCAGGATAGGAACCCTCCTCCCTAAACATTAGATATATAATCTTTTAATTTTAGTATTGTTTATGTTACAGCTCTTTTACAAAGCATGTTTTACATATCATGTTATATGCTTTAGCGTTTATAGTTAGAATAATAATTTGGCAATTGCTGGCAACGTCCATTCCTGGAAATAGTTAGTTTTTCTGATTTTATTGTTGCGAAATGGATTAGTAAAACTGGACATTCTCAAACTGAGAAACTTATTATTCTCAATATGTTCGACGCACTTTGCTACCAAAACTCAACATTCGAAGTTACAAAAATTGTTGGAATTTGTTCAAACATGATTGGACTTTTTCATGAGGAATACAGGAAGGAAAATATCTCCAGAAGTAAAACGAGTGTATTATTCGTTTTACTTAAAAAATAAATACCTACCTAGCGATTAGACTCATGAGAAAATCTCTTTTATTGGAGAAAAACAAAATTATCTAAAAGATAGCTAAAACGTGCCAGGATAAAAAAAAATTAAATGCGCCAAGCAAGCTTTGAAAATGGTCCACTCGACTAAAATCACCTTCGGGAAAAGGTAAAAGATTAATAATAAATAATAAAGATTAATAATTAGTCTCTGGTAAAGATGGATTTGTATGTACAATTATATTCAATCAATCAATTATTAACTTTCGTTTCCCAAGTTCGTCTTTCTATTGTTTGCAAATTAGTGTGCTCTAATTTGGAAGCGATTGGAGCAAACTGAAATACGGAATTTTTAAAAATTGCCATTGCAATATTCCTGAACTTTACTATATAATATTTAAGTTGTTCACCTTGTTTAATGATCCTTGCCATTGCAAATTTACATTTTATAACTTTCTTGCAAAACAGAGTATAATTAACAAAATTTTTGAAGTGGCTGTGATTTTATCTGGCTTTAATGTTGTATTTATGCTTATACTAGCCCAGATAGCACAAAATAACACTACGGCTGAACGTAAAATAGGATGTCTATTTTTTCCCAATGGCACAATTTTCGTTAGTTTTGGTTTTGGTAGATGAGGAAAATTCAAACAAAAAAACAAATTCTGAAGAATTTTCGTGTTCGATGATCTTTTTAAATCTGCTCAGTCAGATGTACCGATAACAAAATTGTGATCGATTTCATAAAGATATCCGTATGTGACAAATGGCAATACGTATACGCAAACGTTGAAAACGTATATGTATATACAATGTACTCAAATTGGATCTAAAAAGGAACCGAAGCATCCAGTTATTAACGGAAAACGGGGCTCACTATTGGAATATCTGAAATATAGAAGGTATATACAGTGACCAAACTTTCTGTCCGATCTCAAAACTCGAACTTTAAATTTGCAGCAACGGTGCGACTGTATGCGCATGCGCGGTAGTTGTGCGTATCACGCCACCCGTGGCGAGAAAAACAGTATGCGTATGAGTATGTATCCGTAAGGAGCATGAGTATGTATTCGTAAGGCATATGTACGAGTGTCAGGTAACAACAATAAATGTTCAGTTCACTTGTGAAGTATTCAATCAATCAATGGTCCTTCACCAGCGCAACCAGGTGGTTAATGGCAAGTGCGTAAATTAGTACGTGCACCATAAGACCCCACACTTTCTTATAACGCACGGAACAGACTTAAATTTTTCTAAACGAGACGGTTCATAAAGGTGCGCCTTTTTCGCTTAGGATTTGGGATAATTGTACAAAACGCGCTTAGATCATGTTTAATCAAGATGTTTGAAACAAAGAACTACCTTACAGAGTAACCTCGTTTGTCAAAGAAATAATACTTATAAATGTATGCATGTATCAATGTATGCAAAATCTTTTTTCGGACAATTTCCGCTTTTGTATGATCAAGTTTTACGTACACCTTTACGAAATGCTAAAAATTTTGTAGCGCCTGGACCTGACTTGAGCTGCACGAAACATCAGATCAGATTTTCACGAAATTATATATTTTCACATGACAATTGATAAAGACACGGTGTTGTTGAAACAAATGTCATGAAAATATATAATTTCATGAAAATCTGAACTTTTAGTTCTTATTTATTTTATTAAATGGATTTTCATCAAGTAAAAGCCACCTCAGTTCAATAATAAAATAGACTTACCAACGCACTATCTCACACTATCTGAGAGAGCATGCACTTCAACATTCTAGTGACCTTACCTTTGCTGCAATGCATCAGGATTTCTTAATGAAACGTCCAAATATAAAAAAATTCTTATGACAAGTACTATGCAGTGACCAGGAAAATTAACATATCGCTAGCAAATTTTAGGCACGAAGAATGGAAACATTGTGAAGAGTTTGCTCTACACCAGGGTCGGTATTCTACAACCCGCGGGATGCACGCAGCAAATCTAGAACGTGACAAAAATGGGCGCTAACAGACTCATATTTTACTGCCTAAGTCAGTCCCCATTTCCAAGCGAATGCGATGGCCTCGCTTAGTGTAGCATTCCTTGATTTAGCTAATTTAAATTTCATAAAATTAAAATATAGAATAAAACTTGTTGAGGTATCCCAAACACAACCGGACCTGAAGATAAACTATTTTATATTTATAATTTTATACGTATGTAATTGGAAATGTATTTTCCTTTGTCTGTTTTCTTTAGCTAAATAATTGTAACATTTTTGTTCTCTGGCATTATGGCTTGCCAATCGAAATTATTTCTTTTGAATATTTATACTAGTGTATGATAGAAAAGCACTATTTAAGTTACATTTAGATATGTGGCCCGCATGAATAGTTTCACTATGAAAAAAGTTGTCGGCCCCTGCTCTATATGACAAAAGTCACACAAAAGACAATCTGGAAGAAACGTGTAATGTTTGTAGTAGTTGAAAAAAACATATAGAGAGGGCAACAAAATCGCGTGAAAACAACAGAGATAATGGTAACCAACCAGAAGCAGTAAGGAAAGTTATGCACTGCGCAGACTTTGAAAAAGTTATGCAGCAATTTTCACAAACAGACTAACAGTTTATAACGAGATATTCCTACCAATTGGCAAAAAAAGAATGGCAAAACGTTTGCCGCTGTTTGTTAATACCAATTTTTCCTATTCAAGAGAGGGACTGTCAAAATAACAACGTGGCTTGATAATTGCTCCTTGCAAAATAAGAACAGGCCATTCTCATTTTTGCTCTACATGAAATTAATGCTAATAAATTTGTTATAAAATAAGCTGGGTTATACGATTTTGTTGATGCCGTAAAACTGGCTTTACGTATAAAGACATACCGAAACGACTTTTATGGTCCAACAATTGAACTTAATTTTTTCAATGCCAAAATTACGAAAACTAAAAAACTGCCCCCGCTAAATAAACAACCAAAGATTCTTAGAATTCCATTCCACTAACATTTTTGTATTTATTATTATTGTTTTTGTTGTAAGATTATAGTATAGTAGTATAGATTATAACAATAAATCTTTGTTAAAAAAATGTAATAAACCTGCGTATATTTTGAAAGAGTCAGTAGTTATAATATGAATGGTACACCATGGAATTAGACGTACCTCAAATTTGTACTAAAATCGTAAGCCCAATAGGCGCATCTTATTTTTAATTAATATATCATATACCTATACTACAAAGAACTGTTAAAAAAAAAAACAAAAAAATTACAAAATAATCAAAAAACCGATAAATCGCAATAACATAAAAAGTTGAAATATTAAGATGCGTTTTTTCGGCTTAGGACGGCAGTATAGATTCCCAATTGGTGTCAAAAACGTCAGACACCTACAAGAAGCACATAAATCCCACAAAGCTCGCGACTAAGCGATCGCTTACCGTTGTATCGAGGCGTAACGGTGCAAAATCTGACGGGAACATGGCTGCTCCCGGTTTTGTAGTTGCTTTCCTCCGTGGTTTTTCTAGTCGGTGACGGGGGTTTTGACGACTTTTTCGTTTCTTCTAAAAGATACGGAAACATCTTCCCTCCTGTCAAAACAAAATGTCAGTCAGTTTCGCTGACTTCGTCCGTTGGAACTCGTCTCCGAAAATTACCTACTTGGGCTACCGTACCCCGCGCCCATTTAAAATTTTCGCTTGAATTTGGTGTTCCGGACGAAACGTGCGTAACGTCAATTTTGTTGCATGCGTAACAGTGACCTTACCGTTTGTCAAATCCCGCGTAATTTTCAAACGTAGGAAAACGAAGCAGCAACAGCAAAAAAGCAAAATTACAACGAGCATATTGCGCGATTTGTTTATGGTTATGGATACTGTTTTGCGTGTATTTCGATATGCAGGTTCGAAAAGCGGTTTTCGTATACGAATAAATAAGGAAAACGCGTGGGGTTATATTGCGTTAACAACATTATGGAACGGATTCGATGGGACGCTGCTATAAACATCTTACTAAGGATATTTATGCAATACCGAATGAATTCTCGCTATACATACCTACCTCGCAAACGCGAACCATTTTGAAAACGGGAGATAAAAATTTGACGTTAGGTGGCTGTACAGGTCGACAATTTTATAAATAGCAACTCAACGAATGCGTTTACAAGCGAATATGTGACTCAGTAGTCATTGGAAACTTCGATGCGTACTTACGTTTATTGTCTTGAATTAATAAATACTTTCTGAGGAACATTATCGTTAAATTCACAAAATTAATTCGGAAACTATTTCAATTGACTAATTATAAATTAATAATCGGAGGTAGACTATAGCGTAAGGGCCTCTCTTGCAGGCGCCGCGACACCGAAAGTTATGATTCCGACCTTTGCAATTTTATTGACCAAACAAGGGGGCGGTTCTTTGAAAATTAATTTAATATCCATCGCGGAATGACGGAATTTCAGATAATGCTCGTGGAATTTGAGGAATGAAGTTTGCGAATTAGTTAAAGTTGCCAATCGATAAACATAATGCAGGTACCAGATCAACAAAATATTTATTTAAAAAATATTTTACTGGAAGGGGCTTTATTTTTAAATTGGTATAAAGATAAATGCTTTGCTGTAATGGATATAGGGAACAAGACCGTTATATATTTAAACCCATGAGTAATTGTTTATTGTTATTTTTAATTATTGTGACCCATTTTAGTTCCGGTAAATTTGAAATGCCCTAAATTAAACAATATAATTATTTATGTTATGCTATTAATCTTTCATTACTTATAAAGTCAATGAACAAGTACTTTAAAAAGAACGATGATTTGTTCTCCTTCCTAAAATTAATTAAAAAAATTCATAGAAATACAGGACAAACGGATCATTGTAGCGACCTCTAGCCGACAGAAGCTCACTTATGAACCGATGTTAATTTAGTCAATTCGCAGGTAAATAAAGAAACCTTTTAAACTAAAGATTTCCTTTCAAATTGGATTTCATCGGGAATTATTAAGGGTCCTGTAGTTTCTTCATATCCCGCTAGATGCCTGAAACAGTCATTTTTAAAGCAACCTGTTCCACTAAAAAAAAAAGTGATATGTGAGCGTATGTTCATCTTAGTTTCTTAATTTTTTTTAAAAGTGACAATTATTTAAAAAAAAACCTTATTCGTTATATTACATTTATCCAGAAATCTATATTTAAAAAGCAGTCAAAAACGAAAAAAGAGTTTGAAAAATGGCTTCTCTTTTCCTAATTTAGTGAAAACTCGCTATAAAAGAAAGCGCACTTGCAAGATGTGTAGGCTCTGATGGGTAGATAAGCTGAAATACTTCTCATAAAAAATTGCTCCAATGAAAATTTTTTATTTCATTTTTGCTATGACAACCAATTTTTTTATATATCACTTTCTGTGAAAAAATTGCAGTAATTTGAGCTTCTAACCACTAACATTAATTATTGTCAATTCAGTTAGATTTTGATTTGTTGCTGTGTTTAATCAAAGTTTTGTAAAACTGCGAATTGACGTTCAATTTTTTAAAATTATTTTGTTTGTTTCTGGCCAACATTAAAATTTTACAGCGATGTAGCAACGAAGAAAAATTAATTTCGGTTACCCCGGAAATGGATTTGTTTACTTTTCGCGGTGTGGTGAAAAGTTCTTTTTGGAGTAATATTTTGTTCACATCATATTATTCTAAATTTTGGTGCTAAATCCAATAATAGTAATTCTAAATAGCTTTCTTCTTGTCTTACTTCTCTTCTATTTAATTTTCTGACTCGCGTCACATTATTATGTTTAATCAAGCATCGTAGACAAAAAAATAATGAATTAAAAAAAAACACGAATGTTGTAAGTGTGTACAAATGGCGTTTTTTTTTATATTAGTATAGGTGTTTACAAGTAAGTTTGTTTAAACCAATATCAATGTATATTTCTAATGGCAAAGCGTTTTTTATTATTTTTTCACTACGTTTTCACATCCACTTTATATTACATTTTTGTTTTTTCTTTAACCTTTATTATTCCATGCAATGAAGAACATTTTTATTGAAAATTTTCTTGAATTTTGATATATAATTGATAAGTGAGTAATATGGTGCAATTGGCTAACCATGGGGATACGTAAAACAATATATAAAACCTTTTTGTGTAACAATGACCACCTTTCTTTGTTAATTGCAATTAAAATTAAAATTGCTTCTGTTAATTAATTCATATCAGTGTCTGAAAATGGCTTCTTTTTGCGGTAGATACCATTGATTCCTTCCATGATTATTAAAAAGATTTAAATACATAGGGATATTTACAACTAAGTTTCCGACACTTCCGACCTGAATCCTGATAACACGTGTCATTAGGCTTGGCGAATTCGTCTTAGCGGAGGAATCGTGTATTATTAGCAGATAAGGGTGCTTACAGAACTTCTTAATAGACACCTAAGGCTATACGGGGATGCTAAAATACTCATCCGAAAAGACCCTTGGTTTGTAGATTTATTCGGTCCGCCCTTCATAACCGTTCCGTTGCCGAACAATGTTCGTCTTATATTGCTACAGCTATAGCCTTCCGGACGAAAGTGGCATCGTTATTCTCCAAATTAATAGGCCATATCAGACACACTTGACAGGGAGATATTGGGAAATGGAAAGGTCGATTCTGGACGGCTTGTTCGCAAATAAATTGCTGGACAATAGATTGCAATAAATCAAATTTCTACGGTAAATTATAAAAAAAAAATTTTGTTTAAATTTTTGAATTAAATTAACACTAATTGCAGAGCGTAGTTTGAGATTTCCTGTAGTAGTTTCTGAGTGCTAAAATGTGGTAAAGAAAGAGAACCGATCGACAACCGAAAAACGCTCAATATTTCCAACACAACAAACCGGTCATATTCTCAACGCACACAATTCACTGACCTATCAAGGGAGATACTTTGCATTTTGATATTTTGCGATTGTTGCGCTTTTGAAAACGTTGTTTTTATTAACATTAATTATATATTGTACAGTTTTAACATACCAGACCATTCATGCATGTTGTGTGAGCTGTTGGTTCATACTTTTTTTTGAGGATAATCTGTGGATTTTGATATCTTTGTTAATTAGAAGCGTTTCTGTCTTAACATCAAAGAGTTTTCATAATTGTAATGTTATTTACACGATAGATAAGATATATATGTTTGACCAGACAATAAATGTGCAGAACACTGTATCTCTTAATGAACTCCAAAACAAATTTCTTAAAAAATTGAGTTGCGTAAAATTTCAATATTAAAAAATTATTATTGGTTTTCGTGACATGAATAGATTGATTATTCGTCGATGAATCCCACATAATAAACTATATTTTTGGATAATGGACACCTTAAATAAGTAAAACATCAATACTTAACAGGTTTTGAAAAAAGGGATACGAGGTTAGCACCAAAATTTCCCGGCCTGACATAGATGCAGCTCCAGTATCACGATAAAACTTTGTCTTCTTTTAAATATATATCTTAGTAGGCTGCGAAAAAAAAATTGAAGTCTTGCGTCAAATAATTTTTTATTGACAGCATTTTAAACAAGACGTGTCCGAAAAAATGTCGCAAATAACGCAAATTGAGTCAAAGTTTTTGACACAAGAAGGGTAAGCACCTAAAATTATTAAAAAAAGGCTGAGTGGTGTGAACGGCCAAAGTTCTCTTTCGTATTCTGTAGTGAAAGAATGGGAAAAACGTTTTCGAATGTTGCAGGAGTCTCTTGAAGATGATTCAAGAACTGGTCGAGGAGTGGAGGTCATAACGGAAAATATTGTTGCGATTGTGGAATAGATGGTATTGAGTGATCGACGTTTAAAGGTCCAGGAAATCTCAGAAATTACTAAGCTTTCTGATACAAGTGTTCGTCGAATCCTGCATGATCATTTAGGTATGCATAAGGCTATTCAAAAACAACGCCGTGTCGAGAATGCGCGGTGTTTTTTGGAACTCCGTGGGTCGGAACTGAAACCTGTAATAGAAACTATTGTGACGGGAGATGAAACTATGGTTCTCTATTATGAGCCCTTATCGAAAAAAGAATCAATGGAGTTGCGTCGTAAGGGTGAAGCACCTCCAAGAAAATTCAGAGTCTGCCAATCGACAAAAAAGGTGATGGCCACGATCTTTTGGGATTGTGAAAGAATTCTTTTGATAGATTTTAAAGAAACTAATACCACTGTTAATGGTAGATGTTACGCAACATTATTACATAAATTGCGAGACTACATACGTGTAAAACGTCAAGGAAAACTGACCAGAGGCGTGCGTCTTTTGCACGATAATGCACCTCTCCATACTGCTGGTGTTGCACAAGCTGCCATTTTGAGTGTGGGTTCCAATAGATAGATCATCCTCTCTATAGTCCAGATATGGCCCCTAGCGACTATTATTTGTTTGGATATTTGAAAAAGGACTTACGTGGAATGCGTTTTAACTACGAAGTTGAGTTAAAAGAGGCTGTTTTAGCTCATTTTGTGGATAAAATTGTGAGTTGTTAATAAGAAGATGTAATAAGTGTATTGGAGATAAGGGGGATTATATTGAAAAATAATAAAAAATTGTTTTGTTTTAGCGCTGCACTCTTACGTTTAATTTCAAAAAAAATTGTTGTTTTCCTAAAAACCTCATGTATTGAGATATAAAAAAATACACTCACTTTTTTTTTCAACAGGTGCATAAATTATTCCCAAAATGTTTAAATCGATTTTGACTTTTCCGAATTTTTGGTATGAACGAGCATTTGATTTTTTTTAATACC